GATTTGCTGCACTTTTTGAACTTGCTCTTGTTACGTTTCGTTCAAGAAAAGTACCATGAGAGTACCACAAGAGCAAATCGACCTAAACAACAGCAAATCGATCAATCGTATACTTTATGATACAAAGTTAACGAAAAGCAACCGTTTTTTCTACACTTCGATGGAAGTAATACCTAGGGAAAAGTGGGTATATACAAAAGTAACAGTTTTTACATTTGGTCTAATTGCCAATTATCTTTCAAAGGCATAAAAACGAAAATTACGCTTTCAGTAATGTGTTTATTGGTCTGTCATTTGACTACTAATTTAGCCTCTTGTGATAAATAATCAAAGAGTTATAGCGGTTTTCCGTAGACACTGTTACTTTCATCTTGCAGGGGCAGAACGAAAGTAGCACACCGTAAAAATGAAAGTAACAATTATTTCAATGAAAATTAAGTAAAAACACTTCTTCCGACACAAAACAAAATTTGTTATTATAAGAAGCAGAATGAAAAATATTTAAACAAATACATCCGAAGTAATGATAAAAACATATTTGAAACGTATTTTAAGTAACAAAAGGTAGGAAGCACCCTAGTAGCACAAAATGTTGAATACACATGTGTCTAATATTAACAAGACATTGAATCTCTTTTTAATATTTTAATATATATCAAATATTTATTTTATATTTAGAAAGAAATATTTTTTTCAAATATTTATCAACTATTTATTTATTTCATATGACGGGGAAATATATTTTCCAAGATATAAAATAGATATTAATTTAATATTGTAAATAAAATATTCTTTTTCAATTTTTAAATTATTTTTGTGTTTTCTGCATTAAGAAAAGATACTTTTGCGCGTTGCATCGATGTGTCGTGTCGTCTGAAGATTGCATCATATTCAGGCAAAAGCTGGTCTATGTCCCTCTTTGAGGCATTGACCTGCATGGTTACCGAAAAAATAAGAGTCGATAATAAATAAATGAACGTATATGGTCGCGAAAAGGAGCAGTTGAGTAGAGAATATTACGCTCAGTCTCAGAAAACATATCGAGCGATCTTTATACATCTTCAATCAGTGTTTTATTAGTGTTTACTCTTCTCGCCGTACGTTACGTATACGTGACAGCTCGATTATGTAATACTAGCTTGTATATCGTATTTGCATATTGTAATGTTGTCTCACATACATTGTATGTTATGTACATTAGACTGAAAAATGTCCGAGAAACGTTGTAAAAAATATAAATTTATAAAAAAACAGATGGCTTCGAATATTCAGAATCGGTGTGTCAACACAATTGAGGTATCGAGAATTACGCCAATTATTTCTCAAACAAATATTATTAATCCCGTTCCCTATCTCAATATTAATTAATCACATCATGTTGAAATTAGAGATAAACGAAGGACAGAAGAGAATAATGCTATTGTAGATAACAAATGTACTGCTTTTGCAAATTTAAAATTGCTCAACCTTTTAAAAGTATGGTTTCTAGAAAATAACGTTAATCATACTCAATTGTGTAATTTATTAAAGGGTTTGAAGGAAATTTATCTAGAATACAAGATTCCACATGATGCTCGCACTCTATTGAAAACTGAGCGATCATCAAATATTGTTTCCTTTTTAAGTAAAAAGAAAAACACAGCTCAATTCACATATTTTGGTATAAAAGAGCATCTATTAAACTTGTTGCGAAACAGGTATATTCCTTGAACTCGAAGAAACTTCTACAATTCGATTAATTTCTAATATTGACGGTATTACAGTTTCAAAAAATTCGAACAAGCAGTTTTATGCAAATTAGTATTAAAGAATTGTATTGTATCTGCCTTTCCGACAGCAATTTATTACGACGATGGAAAACCAGATTCCTTAGTTGATTATTTAAATAACTTTACGTATGAATTAGATAATATTTTAAAACGTGAATTATTCCACAATAATATTAAATTTAAAGTATCTGTAATATGCTCCACATGCGATGCACCTGCGAATACATCCAAATAATTATTACAATCATTTCTTATTCTTTCATGTAGTTATTAGAATTTTGTTACATGATAAGTTACGTTTGAATGTACAATGGCTAAACAGAGCTCGAGAAATGCTATCAGTACATATGTACAATATTTAGGACTAATATTTTATTAATATTAAAAAGTGTGGCTTAAAAAATATTTTTCAAATATTTGAAAAAGATCTTGAACCAATACTTTTGTGCTACTAGGGCATATTTGTCCGATATTGTATATTTGGTTTAGTGATAAGTAGTAAATTATAACTACTTCGAACCACAATTATGGCATGTATAGTTTATTACTTTTGTCTCATATTTTAACCTCTTGCGCTGGAAAATCGTACCACGCCTGTGGAAATATTTTTGTTTCAAAATTGCCAATGACATCTTATAAACATCGATAGTTTAGTTCCATTAGGCATACTAGATTGTTTTGAAATGTTTTACTCTATACAAAATTATTAATAAATAAAATTAGTGTACATGCCCGAGTAAAATAAGTAAAAAAAAGTTCTTCGCGCAAGATTTTGTCAAATTTTTAGATTAAATTTCAGCGCAAGAGGTTAAATCTTAATTTATAAACCATAATTTTCAGAATAGAAGCATTATAATCGGCAATCCACACAAGACTTACTGAATTCAAAAAGAACTTATAAAGGCATCACCTAAAAACACTCTAGCAAATAAATGATTCAATATTTATAGCCTGACTATGAATATTTAATAAAAGCTAAAAAAGGAGAAACTTATCGAAAGGATCAAAATTAGATTCGACTTGATTGCACTAGATATTCTGTGTTACTGATCAACGTCAAGTATTGAAATAAATTAACCATTATATTAACATAACCATGTAAAACACATGTCTGAGAAACGCATATGGAAGGCAAGAGAGAGTGTGTTACTTTGTAAATACTTGTTGTTACTTTTGTCCCCACTCTCCCAAAAATACACAGTGTACATTGGAAATTACAACCTCGAGGACCTCTTCATAATTGCAACGTCGTCATCCCCATCACATCCCCATCAGGTTCCTTCTAACACACCGTAGCGTTCGACGACCGATTGCGGTTGAAGGGTGTAACATGATTCGACTATTGTCGAACTCGACGATTTCAGTGTTTTTTTCTTTTCTATTCTCAGTCCATTTCTATATCCGAAACTTCAATCGCTTATTATACAAGCAATTATGATCGTAATTCAATGATCGTGATTGGTGTTATTTCAGTCAGAAAAACATAACAAACGCGACAGTAAAAGTCACCAAATTCATCAAAAGTCAAAAATAAAGGAGTTTGATTTTTCAGTTAAAGGTCTCAAGCTCATCGCGAGTCTCTAATTTTGCCAAACGAAGAGCCTCAGTTCTTCTTTTTCCTTCACTCGCTTTATTTTTTCCTATGTCCGTCATGCTAAAATCTTCGTTTCTGGAGGTGAATTCGATTTTACCTCTTCATAATTGCAACCTTCTGTTCTGGTTGAGTGTTGCAATTATCTTAATGTTCACTGTACATATTTTTCATGTCAAGTCAGAGTTGTTAGTCAGACACCTTTTTCTAATTTATTCGAAGTAGACAAAAATAGAACTGCATCTTTTTAGCTGCTAGATCCTCAATTTTTCATTTGTAGTCTTTGAGAAAGAGGAACAACGATAAGTGGGAGACAGGAAGGAAGCCAACCCATAGGTGACACTGTCCACTTAGACATGAAACGTAGCTTGTCTCGTTCTATCGTTTGCTTGACCAAGCTCTCTCACACACGCGTAATGAGACCTTACAGAGAGTGAACATTGCGTCTCGTCAAGGTTGACATGCGAGCCTACTAAACTATGCTCCATGTTTGTGTGATCAGTCATGTATGTATTTGTGCTCATCGTTGTATCTTCTCGTTTGTCCTATCCCTCTGTATATTTATATGTTAACCATGTTTAAGACTATAATTAGGAATCATTTTGTACAAAAAAGAGTTGTTCGCTGGAATAAAAGATAATAGACGCAGTTCTCGACTGTGTGATGCAGCCAATTCGATGGAAGTGTGTATTTCACAATACAGAGCGTACTCGTAATATGAAATATAAAATTCTCATCATCACCAACTATTACATATAGTTAACTTCTTTTTCTTCTTCGAACATGGTCAATGTATAAATATACAGTATCTTGTCTTTGACCACGAAGCAGTAGCAAGTTAATAACAAATAAGAACAAAAACAAAACAGCATTTATTTATAGGAGTATTCCCGAGCGTCCCGCCAAATTTCTCATGTCATGCGACTTTACAAGGAGGAAATTGCATGTAAAGTAAACTGTAATTAAAATGAAAAATGATTTTGTAATATAGCAACAAGTGTAATAATAATCGATTTTAAAGTGAGGCTTCGTATGAAGAAATAATATGCCACTAAAATTTAATTTTAAAATTGATATAAATTGCACCTAATAAAAGAGCATGTGTTGTAATAACGATTTTCGTTTCATCCAAAAATGATCCTATGCTTTTGTGTTTATAGTATTTAATATGTACTTAATTCCGAAACAGTACATTTTCAATTAGCATTATCGATAGCAAAAATATTTCTAGCTACAGATAATCCTTTTACAAATATAAAAATCATTTGATAGTCTTTTATACTGTTCTGAAAGTACAAATTTATACCGAAAGGAATTCAAGTTTCTGATATTAAATGACTAACTGATCGTTCAATCTTAAATAACTATAAAATATTCACTGAGTCTGAATCAAGTTACAGTTTCAAAGAATATCACTGCAACCGGGCAATTGTACAACACCTTGCGTTTAGTATGAAGAAGAAAAAATTTGAAAAATGTATCTCCCGATAGCGATATCGATTGAAAAAAGTTCGACAGTTTCCAACACTTTATATAACAATAAGTATAGATTAGGTGCTTCCTCTTACTCATGGAAAAATATTCCTTGTGAAAGTTTCGACAAAGATCGAAAGAAGTATCTTAAACATTGTCTTCTTTACCGTTTCCGACTTGACAACCGTAACTGTCCTTATTCTTGTCCACATCCATATCTGTATCTCCGTCCTTTTCCTTTTCTTCGTCTCTCTGTTCCATAGTGTCCTCCTTCTGATCATCAAGTTTTCTTTGGTTATCTGTGCCAGCAAATTCCTCGCTTTTGTCTGACGAATTGGCAGAATGAGATTTATTCAGCAAGGAACTGAATTCGCCGAATTTCAGAATCTCTTCCATGGCCGATTGCTCCAAGTTCACCTGCCCAAAAATAATAATTGATAGATTGAACATCACTTATTGAAATGACACTAATCAAAATGGAATGATAAAAAAAACATCAACGAGAAAATAATCCACAATAAAACTTTTTTATTTTTCATATTTGTTAAATGAAACTATTGCTATTTTAATTGTGAGGTTATCCTAATTAAAATAACAGTGTAGCCAGATAATTTTAATGTTTCCTACTTTAACACTTTTGCGATCACAGTCAAATTTAAAATACCATCACTATAGACCGTGCCTTTTTGCAATTGTTTCACGTGATACGTCATTCATATAATTTTTACACATTTAACACTAAAACTAACGAGCATTAATATGATTAATATGTAATCCCCATAAAAATGGTAAAAATAGATTATTTTCGATTTCTTCAGACATTCACTATAGTTTACAAGTGAAACCATTTATTTTCAAAATCATTTCAAATATTCAATGCTTTTAAGATATCCGATAATTGTGAAACAGAAAAACCGAAACCAGTCATTTTGACTGGTACAATAGTTCTAGTGTCAAGACACAAAGCAACAATGGGCTATATCATACACTAAATATGCGTTAATGTAATCATAGCAACTGTAATCAATAGCGTCGCACAATGTGACGAGTGGTCGCTAGCGTGTTAATGAATGATGATTATTTTTTTCCATCTATTAAGTAAATATGACACAAATTACAGCATGTTGGATTGTATTTTAATCAGAAAACTTTCATACGCGTCGATAAAAGTTTAATTGGAAAATCATAAAAAATGAGAAAGTTTATTCATCAAATTAGTATTGGTCTTATATCACTTGACTTTGGGTCAGGTTACGTTTTTCAGTCATCGGAGCTTTGCAGTGTATCGAGGGGACACTACCTACTGTAGTGGAAATAATTACATGTACCGAGGACTTACGAAGAGGTTTCATGTGTCGGATGTAATATTATTGTACGACTTGGTATGGGTATGGATAGATTTCTTGTGAAAAAATTGAAAAGAAAGTAACAAGTTTTCATTTGAGGTTCCATCCTCAAAACAATTAAGTTTAAAAAATGATCGCGTATATCCGTAGGCAGTTATCATGAATTCAGTCTAACTGATCATGTTATAAGTTAGCAAAAATAAAACTTACATTAATCAATGAATTGCTGAAAATTTTGTCGAATGTGTGAGATGATAACAATGAATTTTGTGTCCTTATTTAGTCAAATACATGTATGATTCTTTCTTTTATTTTGTATGCCCTTTGGCATACACAAGATTTTTAAAACGATCGCATAAAAAGCTTCAATAAGGTAATATTTCTCGACATTGCAGATGAAAAAACTCTTTGACTATAACTAATCTAATACTTGAAGCGCTGATGTAGTGAATTAAATTATTAATAAAATTGACCCAACCATAACATTGCTAATATTTAACATAAACAAATTAATGAGTTTTTGTGATACTATGTATTATATGTGACTGTTAGATTGAAAACATAGTAAGTCTACGCATATAGGAAGACTTTTTTAATTTAACTTTCTCGAAAAATAGACTTCAAAGGAAAAATCGTAATTGTGTATTACTTTTTGTTAAAGAATCTGTCTGTATGTGGTTGTACAATTCAAGCTGACATATTTTATATACTCTATCATTAAGTAATAAAAACTGAAAACTGTTGTGAAAAAATTGTGTGATATAATTTTTATTCACTATTACATATTATTCATTATGAAATGATTAAAATTTAGATTACAACATTAGTTGTGAAATATAGTAGAGTTTTTGTATCCGAATTTTCGAACAATAGAATAATTATGTTTCTAATAATAAATTTCATTCAAATAAAGGTAAATGAAATTGACAAATTTTCCAAATGTATATAATAGATCACTTTAGTTGCAACATTTCATACATTTTTACATACATAATTGTATGATCCATACTAAATCTTTTACATTTGGTTACTTATTCTTCTTCTGAATCGATGAGTATTATTGTTAAACTCTTGTCATCTCAATAAGTTTATTTGCTTAGCAAAAACAGAAAAATATTTAAGGGAGTCATATTCCCTAAATAAATAGATTGCAAACTATATATATATATATATATATATATATATATATATATATATATATATATA